ATTATTACTACTATATATATATATATATATATATATATATATATATATATATATGAATGCATACAACACTTGCATAAAAAGTAAGCAGCCACATCAACATCAACACGACACTCATTTAATGCATTGATCAATGCCTTTTGGTTTTGACAAGTGAAAACATAACAATATCACTTGTTCATATTTTTTTCTTTTCATTTGACAAGTGAAATCACATTAAGGTTAGTCTCCCAGAAATATCAAACAGTACAAACAATAGTTTCTTCATCTCGTGCCATTTATGGTGAATTAAAAGTCAGAACTAAAGCAAGTTAGCTGTCCAAATATGTAAGCAGTGAGGCTGACCCCTAAGCCCTGAAAAACATTCCAATGGATAAATGTCTGAGTCATCCATTACACAAGACAATGATTGCACATGTATACTTCCCGAGTCATCTACCACAATAGAAAGTTGCATGCTTTGTTCAGCAAGTGAGCACAACTCTCAAGTCTAGGCAAGCAATAAACGTTTCTAACAGCAAAGAGCGAAGTACTATGATTAAAAGGGCCGTAACTCGGTGTTGGTCCCACCTACACAGGGTCCTGGGAGGGTGAGCTGAAAACGGTTCTAATCTTTGGCTTTTTTATATACAAAGTGGTTGCTCTCAGGAGTTGAACCAGCATTCTTGAGTTGGCTACCCGAGCCTTTTACTGTCACACCAAGTGACGGCCCCTAAGCACAACACTATGATTAAAACTATCAAATACAAGTCAAAACTAATGTTAAGTTGTTGAGGAATACAACTTAGCCCTAGAGGTTCCTAGGTGACCCAAGGCCTCTAGCCCTAACACTGAGGAGAAAAAGGGAGATAATTCTCCCTTTTACTTACCTTACCTTACCCGACAGAAAAAAAGGGAGACAATTCCTTTTTACTTACTTTACCCGACAGAAAAAAAGCGAGTTAATTCTCCATTTTTTGTCCCGGTACCCATTTGTCCTTTGTACCCATACCTATCCTATATACAATAGGGGACTTGAAATGTAAGGTCCTTTCATGATTCGGATTCATTCTCCATCGGTGGATCACTTTTTGATGACTTGTAATTTCTATCTAGTTCTATATCTATTTCTATTTTATTTCTAGCTATCTATATGGATAGATGGATATACCTCTATATTTCTTATAGGACCGTAACCTCAAATCTTGACGATTGAACATGGCTGGGCAAATATTACTTTGATAAAGAAAGCTACAAACTGTTAAACCTTCATAATACATGTAACTCTTTCTCCCCAATCATAGAAAATAACATAACAAACAAAATGCCATAGTATATGGTCATGCGCACTCAGTTATGCTTTACAATTATGGAATTTTCCTGGGAGCTTTTCTTGATTTCAGAAGCTTCAAAGCATGCCCAGCATCAAATACATCTAACTAGCAAACATATGCTCCAGTCGTCCTAGAAGAATAGTTAAGGCCAGACTTGTGATAGCTAATTAGCTCATCCAATGCATTTAAAAGATACGAAAAGGAAAGAAATCTGCAAGCAAGAAAAAGGGCATCAAGAGAATCAAGGCCTCTTACAAATCAACAAAAATAATCAAAGTTTCAGTTGATAATTAGGAAAGCAAACAAAAAAGGGGAGCTTTCACAGAAAATCATTATAACTATAACTTGATTCGAGTTAACAATGGTTTAGGCTTGCCTAACTCATACTTGCCCAATAAAAAGAAGGAAAATGATGAGCAAAAAAAATTCAAGTTTAATTGCAAAAGGGTACCCCAAACAGCAATAGCCCGGTCCTTCACATAGCTCTTTAGTATGTCGAGTTCAACATAAGAAGCAGAAAGAGCAGTCCAAACCAATCGATATTGATACAAAAGAAATCAAGTATTCCCATATTTCATAAGAAGATACCTGCATGCCAAAAACAAACAAACATATGTGTATGAACATATGTTATGCATGTCTCTGCTTATGTATGAACAAACCAACCAACATTTTTTTTCTGTGTAATTTGAAATCTTTTATCATTGAGCACAGTAAAAATACATTGCTTTGGATGTTTTCTGCCCTCCAATCTTATAATTAAAACAAATATGACGAGAACCCAAGCAAGGCTTCATTTTTTACACAACTCTCTCATCATTGCCTCCCAAATTAGATGCATAGGCAATGGTGTCCAAAAATTGTTCTGATTACTGGTCCAGTATTTCGATGCACTTGGGTTTAAGAGAAGAATAAGCACAATCTCTTTGAGATGTTCTCCAATTGAAGAATTTCTGTCATAAATAATCATATGGAACAACCGCATCCTAAATAAAAAGCATCTAACTTAAAAGATCCTCTATCAAACAAGGGCAAACTCATGGAGCAAAGCCATTCATTCATACTTTACCTGTTTCAATCAGAGTAGTGATGGTCTAATGCAAGTAATCTCCAACTTTGAATCACCACCCGAAATGGTCTTTAATTGCTTGCCATATTTCCTTTGAATGACTACATCTTTCCCCACCATGCAGACTGATGAGCACATAATTATGGCTCTTCCATATTAAGGATTACTAGCTTCTAGGATTACTTCTTCCTCTCTTACTTGCTTTCTAAGATCATCGGCTATATGAGCATTGCCTACTTTCTCATGTGCCTTAATCAAGGCGCTCAAAGTTTCATTACTTGGGGCCAGCCCATCATCCATCATATTCTGCAGTAGCGTAGTGGCTCCATCCAAATTACCAATTTCACAGGAGGAATGGATCAAAGTACTATAAGTAGCATTATCAGCCTTTGTCCCTTGCCTCCTCATCTCATCAAGCAATTTCAAAGCTTCCCCAAGATCGCCCTTTTTGCAGAGTGCACCTATAAGTTCATTATACATAGCAAGACTTATTGACACTCCATTGTCTAGAGCTCCATTTCCCAGCTTGAAGGCCTCAATCAAATTTCCTTCTTTGCAAAGAGAATGGATGAGCACACCATAAGTAACTTCATCAGGCTTGATGGCCCTTGCTACCATCTCCTCAAATAACCTCAAAGCCTCTCCCATATCCCCTTCCTGACAATGCCCATTAATAAGTGATGTATAAGTGATTGCATTTGGAAATACCTCTCTCTCTTGCATCTCCCCAAACAAGCGATGGGCCTGCTTTATATTGCCCGCCTTGCAATGGCCATCTATCATTGTTGTGTATGTGACATGATTGGGCATAACATGGTTATCTACCATACCTTTCATTAATCGGTCGGCTTCTTGGAGCTTCCCCATTTTGCAAAACCCGTCGATCAAAGTATTAAAAGAAAGCACGGCCACTGAGTGGCCCTTTTCCACCATTTCTTTGAACAGGTCAAGAGCTTTTGTCATGTTTCCTTCCTTGCAATGAGCATCAATGAGAGCATTGTAAGCAAAGCTATCAGGCACTATCCCATGTTGTATCATCTCATCATAAAGCCTGAGTGCCTCTTTTGCATCCCCCGAATCGCAATGCCCAACGATCATTATGGTATAGGTCACAGCAGTTGGTGTTAGACCCTTTGCAAAGATTATTCTAAACATGTCTTTGGCCCTCTCAATGTCACCAGACTTCCAAAGCCCATTAAGGACAACATTATAGGTAGATATGTTCGGCTCTATCTTCTTTTCAAGCATCTCTTCAAGGTATAAAAGAGCCTTAGCGATCTCACCCATCTTGCAAAACCCTGAGATCAAAGCCGTATAAGTGAAAACATCAGCAGTCAGATCCTTACTGTGCATCTCAAATAGAACCCCAAGAGCCTCCTCCATCTTTCCAGCCTTTGCGAGGCCATTAACAAGCACAGTGTAAGCCCTCACATCTGGGATCACACCTCGGCCCAACATAGCACGAAAAGTAGAAAATGCTTCCTCTGTGTTTCCAGCTTCACAGTGTCCATTAATAACGGTGGTGTATATAACATCATTTGGAAGTAAACCTTGATCGAGCATCTCATTGAAGAATACAAGAGCATCACCCATCTGCCCAGCCTTGCAATGACCATGGATGAAAGACCCATATGTAAAAGCAGTAGGCTCTAACCCTTCACCAATCATTTTTTGGTAGTATGACTTTGCCTTGTCAATCTTCCCTGCCCTGCAAAGGCCACTAATAAGGGTATTGTAGCAAAAGACATCCGGAGGCACACCTGTCCCTGCCATACCATCTAAAATCTCACATCCCAATTCGACATTCCCTTCCTTGCAGTGAGCTGTAATAAGAGTAGCACAAATAACAGCATTTGGCTTCACATTTTCCTTTGACATTTCCTCCAATACACCATTACATCTCTGTAAATCCCCCGATCTACACAACCCATTTATCAAAATGCTGTAAGTTACCACAGATGGCTTCACTCTTCTTTGCTTCATCTTGGCAAGAAGATCGAAAGCTCCGGCCAAATTCTGATTCTTACAATGGCCTTCAATAACTGAAGTATAAGCCATGGAATCTGGGGTATAACCCATCCTCACCATCTCATCCAAGAGCTTATCAGCTTCTTTCACCATACCCTTTTTGCATACCCCACGAATAAGCATGTTATATGTTATAGCACTGGGCTGAATACCCGACGCCACCATCTTATCTTTTACACTGAAAGCCTCTTCAATTTCTTCTACTCTCACCAAACCATCAATCAAACTACTGTAAATGTAACAGTCAGGCTTTAGTCCATTCTCAAGCATTTCAGTGATAACCCGTTTTGCCTCTTCAGTCCTTTTCTCCTTGCATAGACCATGTACAAGAGCACCATAAGTGAACCCATCAGCAATCAATCCTTTTTGGGCCATTTTCTTCTTCAATTCAAAAGCTTCAGATAGAGAACCAGCTTTGCAAAGACCCATTATAAGGGTGTTATAAGTTATGGCATTTGGGGCACATCCCTTCTTCTCCATCTCAGATAAAATCTCTTTTGCCTTCTCTATCTCTCGACTGTTGAGGTGAGCACGAAGTAAGGTGCTATAAGTATACACATCAGGTGAAAATTCACCCGGAAACAGGCCATTATAGACCTTCCAAAACAAACCCATCTTATCCTTTTTAAGCAAAGCATTCAAAATTGAGTTGGTGCGTCGCAAATTAGGTCTAAAACCCATGTTTTTCATCGAAAATAAAGCATTTGAAGCTTCTTCAAGCATACCCATCTTCACATATACATCAATAAGCACATCAAAAACCACCGGATTCGAATCACTCCCGCATTGATGAAATCCATTAGTGATTGATTTCACAATCTCCCCTTTACCCAATTTCTCAGGCGAAGAATAAGCCCTAATCATGCGCTCTAACACACCACCAGCAAGCCCAAAAAGCTGAGAGTTACAGAGAGTTACAGCTAAAAATGAGAATGAATCTAGAGTTTGTGAAGCACCCATTTGTTTCTCTGACCAATTAAAGAAATTGAGCAGGCGTTTGGGATCAGTTACCTGGTTTTGCAACAAAGTTTTATGTATCAGATTAGGCTTGAGCTTGTGACGGAGATCAGAACTATCAATGAGAAACTCCCAATTATGGTCTTCCAACAAATTGCAGAGCTTTTCGGGAATGTCATGGTCTTCTTGGGTTGCTTCTATTGAGGAATGGGTACAAAAAGGCCTGGTTTCTAGGATTTTACAGTGCATTAAAAGGCATTTTTGGCGTATGAAATGAGTTTTCTTGAGGAGCTTCTTCATTGGCTCGTTCGGCAGTTCTGTTTTTTCAGAAGAAGAACGATATAGGGTCCCTCGTTAATCTTACCACAAGGGAACAGCTTCTTGGCAATGATCACTCTCTCAAATTTTTAGAGAGAGAGGGAGAGATTATCGAAGAGAGAGAGAGAGGGAGATTATCAGAGAGAGAGAGAAGAGACATCGAGCGAAGGGTTAATGGCTGCTGGCCTGCTACGGTGGATGCTCGTTCACTATGATTTATATATAGACAATACGCTCGCGGGGAGCACGAAATCTTTTGGCTGAGAAAGTGCGAATACGCGCATCAACTTCTCCAAATGAGAGCCAGAGGGTAATATTCTCAGAAAATGAACTGCACGACTTTTACTTTTGGACCATAGCATTATTTTATAAACGGGTTTGTATAAGGGTGCAGTTTGTGTAGAGCCGAGACTCTAAACAATCAAACTAGAACCCACCTTCAAATAGTGTGGAGAAATATAATTTCAATATTAGAAAGTTTTATGTACCTTCAAATTATATTTTTATTTTTTGTTATAAAATTTAAAGCTTCAAAAATAGTGTAGATCAAGCATATCTATGAAAACTTGAATATCTTGAAAATTGATGGTCTAAATAGGCGTTACAAGATGTATTATTTCTAAAACTTGATATCCATTCGTCTTAACGTTGAAATGATAAATTTGGTGATATTTGGGCATCAAAACAACATCTTCCCTTTGTATAAAGCCCTCTAAACAATCAAAGTAAAACACACCTTCAAATAGTATCGAGGTATGATCTCAATACTGAAAATCTTTGTAGTAACTTTAAAATATATTTTCTTCTCTAATTATAAAATTTAAAGCTTAAAAAAAAGTGTAGATCGAGCAGATCTATAGAGAACTTGATGGCCCAAAAATGGGTCACAAGGTGCACTATTTCCAAACTTAAAATCTATTTTTTCTCATGTCCATACACTAGATGATCAATTTAAAGATATTTGGGCATCAAAAAAAAAAATTGAGATGCATTCTAATTTGATTGTTTAGACCCTCAGCTCTATATAAATTTTTTAGAAAATATCTCCACATCTCATATTTTTAGGTTTCATTTTACAATAGATCCAATGTTTTAAAATATATCTTGGGACATAAAAATTATAGATTTTATTTTTTCTAACTCCCTAAGCTAATTTACTCTTATTTTTTTAGGACTAACAAATCTAAAAAGATGTATCGTTTTCTAAAGAGTAATGATCATATATGACTCTCTCAATCCATGTGAGTAGGACCTTAAAGGATCACCATTAAAGTTGGCACAAATCTCTATAAACGTTATGACATGGGTGTAGGACTTAACTTTTCTATAGATTTGTGCCAAATTTAATGGTGATCTTTTGAGATACTACACACATGGGTAGGGGAAGATCTTATAGGATCATTTTTCTTTTCTAAAAGCCATCTTTTCAAACTTCTAAAAAGAAAAAAGGGCTTCATAGAAGTGAGAGGTTACAGGGAGGAGAGAGAAGTGTTTAGAAAAATACGGAAAGAGAGAGATGGTGAGAGAGGCGGGAAGAGAGAAGTTTGGGGTATATAAGTGAAAAGATAGAAAATATTGGGTTTAGAAAGGGCCTCACATTTGTTTAGGTTAAAAAATAAATTTAAAGTGGCCAGGGGGTTAGAAGATATTTTTTGAAACTTTGAATTTATCAATAAATAAAACCAAAAAATAGGGGATATGAATATATTTTTCTTGAATTTTTTCCTTTGAAAAATTGGGACATATTTTCATACCTTTCTTTTTTTAAAAAAAAAAAAATTGAATTCGGATGAGATTTTGAGAGAATGTGCACCTCATTGGGGCACTTTAGTCATTTTAATTTTGATAGAGTGATTTATGCGTGGGTGCTAAAATAATGAAAAAAATATAAAAAGCCCTTTTTATATAATTTCGACTGTTGCAATTAATACATGAAAACTAATTAGAAACTAATGTGATTGACAATAATGTTCAAATTTTAAATACAAATACTAATTGTACACTATGTTAAATTCAATTTTTTTCATTATATTATGAACTATAAAAAAGCTGTCACCAAATAGTTGAGATAAGACTCTTATGATGATATTATGAACTATAAAAAATTATCAAAATTCAATAAAAATAATATTTAATTAATATATGAGAAATTAATTGGAAATGAGTTGAAAAATAAAATTTACAAGCAGTTTTTAATTTAGGAAAAAAATTTATATAAGGTTGCAACATTAAATTGTAGAATTTAGGTGCACTTCAAAATCCATCATAAAAGTTTGTTTTGATGTTGGAAAACCCACTAATTAATCATTTCGCCATCGAGATGTATGAATATGAAAAGAAAAAAAGATTTCTTAAAAACAATATATCTTGAAATACCTTATCTGGACTAACCATTTTCAATATTTTCGAGTGTTTATATATCTACTTGATTTAAACCATTTTTGAAATAATCAGAGATAAAGATAGTTTGTCAAGTCATTCTAAAAAATTTTTATACTAAAGGGCCAGTTTGGATGTACATAAAATTGAATTATTTTTTTATTGCAATCAAAAAATCTTGTAAAAGCGACTTTGACCGTTTGGACAATTGCTTGCTTTTGTAAGAAATTTAGATTGCAAGAAAAAAATATCTCATCTCAAGGCAAAAATTGCCATCCAAAAATATTCAAGTTACACTTAAATTTTTTTTGCTTGAATTTTTTTGGCTTGAGTAGTGTTTCTCGCGTCTTTCTCTCTCTAACCCTCACACTCTGCCCTCTCCTCCCTGCTTTTCCCTCGTCTCCTTCTGCTCTCTCTCATGCACGAGAAGAAAACTCAAAGCTCTACTCTCTTTCTCTCTTTCAAAAGCTCTGCAAACATAAAGCTATGCTCTCTCTTGTTCAAAACCCAGAGCTCTGCTGCGTAGAAACTCTCTGTTTCTCTCTCGTTCAAAACCCAGAGCTCTGTTGCGAAGAAACTCTCTGCTGTTGTCAAGAACACCTCTCTCTCCCAAGATCAAGCCCCCTCTCCTGCTTAAAGCTCATAAGGCATCAAAGGCAGTTGTAGAACAAAAACATGCACGCCATTTTTCTGGTTTTCTCAATGTCTTTCTCTCTAAGGAAGCTTTCTCTAGGGAAGCTTAGGGCTTTTTCTTTAGGGAATCTGTATTCCTCAATCTATCTCGGTTTCTCTAGGGAAGCTCTTCTGTTTTGTTTCCCTCCATTTATATGGAGAGAGAGCTCTAGTTTTTGGCATCCATCTTTCTAATATGAGAAAGAATGCGTGCGTGGAGGGCTACTAACCCTGCAAGGAAAAGGGAGGAAAAGGGCGGCAATTCAGTAAGGCGGAAATGACGAGGAAAAGGGCGGCAATTCAATAAGGCGGAAATGGAAGCCATAGCCATGACCTCCACCCAATTAGACGATTCAGCCCTAATCCCTAATCTTTCCTTCAAAACTGCCATTTCCAACTCGTGTAATTAATAGGGCTCGAAGAAGCCTAGTACCCTTGATCCCAAAACAGGAGATGGTGTAATATATTCATAAATATTGAGATTTCCCTATATTTGGAGGCCAAAAAAATATACACCATTATCTATTATAGAGTTGCAGACTGCGTGGTTTTATACACAAACCATAGAAGAGCAGTTCAAAGTGAAAAAGGGCTCCAAATTCCCTTCAATAAACAACCAAGGGCAGAGGCATTAGCCCCCAAAAAAACCATCAAAAAACACACAACACAGACACAAAATGAAAGATGAAAGGCAACAACAGCTCATACACAGAGAGCTTCATAGGGAATTAGAAACCAATGGCCCCCATTTAGAGAGAAAGAGAGAGTCACCACCAATAACGTCTGAGGGAGTTTTGGGACTGTTAGAATTTGTGGGAGCATAGAATGGAGAGAGAAAAAGAGAGAACACAATATTTACGTGGGGTTATGGTCGAAGCCTTACGTCAACGGATCCAAAGCTCAACTAGCCACATCTTCATTATTTTAAATAAATGTTTACATCAATAAGTACCTCTATATATAGAGGAGAATCACACAATTACATGAGATAAATATGGTATGATAACTTGATCTTGATGTATATCAATATGAACTCGAGATATCCATATCCCAACACTCTCCCTCAAACTCGAGATATCCATATCAACAGAGACAAAGAAAACCATGAAAAAAGCTCTTTGGAAACTTCTATTTTTTGCCCTCACCCTTTATCTCTAATCAGACCCAAACCGACTGCCAGATACCTAAAAACAGAGCAACTCCCTCTCTGTCGGTACTAGCCTAGTACCCAAGCCGACTAATGGGTTTTTTTTTGACAAATCAATGAAATAAGACATCTAAATAATTTACCAACATGATAAAATAACACGATAATGTTTTCCAATTAAAGTGGAAAAACTTGCATTTTTTTTTGCTATGAATATTTTTTATTTCACATCCAAACTTGTCCAAAATTACATTTATAATAAAATTTGAAAACGGCTTTAATTTGATTGTTTAAGGTTGAAGTCTTATACAAATTACACCCTTACTTCAACGTACCAAATTTTCTGCCATAAAATTAGCCACAAGGGAGCACCAACAATGAAACGGCACCGACCATGGAATAGTACACAAGCGGACCGGCGTCCAAACCAGTTCATTGTCTTGGCGCGCCGGATTTAAAGAACGTTATCCTCCAAGGCTGAATGCAAGAAGAGGCGGAGCCTGGTTGTGGAGCACCAAGCTACGTTTGCTACTCCATAGCGTGCACCGTGCGGTCTTTTTCTCCTGAAATCATTAGCTAAAATAACAGAGCTCCATTTTCTCTTCTTCCCATTCTTTGTACCTCACTTCTAGAGAGATGCGTCTTCTCTATTCTCCTTCTTTTCATGGCGTTTCCAAAGGAGTCTGGCTAAAAAACGAGCCATGTAAGCTAAAATGCAGAAACCCCACTTCTTCTATGTTGGCCATTAATGGCTTGCCCCATTCTCACAGGGTTTGCTTTGGTTCTTTCTCTCTCTACGCATTTCGTTCGAGGGGACGTGTTGCTTGTGGGGTCAGAGCTCAAGAGATGCAGAAAGGGGAGGAAGAGGAAAAATAACGAGGGTTGAAGAAGCAGAAGGCATATCCTTTTGATGAAATTGAGCCTCGATGGCAGGGTTATTGGGAGGAGAATCGTACATTTAGAACACCAGATGATGATCTCGATACCTCTAAGCCTAAGTTTTATATACTGGACATGTTCC